ATAGCAGAATTACATAGTATCAATACCATGTCGAATTTTTGCTTCAGAAGACTGATTTTTCTTAACTACTAATTGGGATATCATTGGCTCACTGTAGCTGAAGTGGTTGCTATAGAGAACGAATTTTTCTGTAGCAAGAGAGATTTTTTTTGAACTGCTGGATAGATACTATGGGCAAGAATATTGAGCAGTTTGCTCATCAGGCTTAGCTGAGGAGTTTAATTCAGGCAACTCCTGAAAGACAGGGATCGGAGCGAAATCGGCTTGCTTGTGATTATTCAATAACTGAACCAGTACTGGGTTGCACCAGCTATGCGTAAGTTCTAACGTAACTTAGTTTGAACAAAAGCTCTAACTTAGGATATAGTTTATGCATTACTAACATTTTAACGGTTGTACCAGCTGAAATAGTTCCAGCGTAGACATAAGATTCAACATAAATCTTACACCACGCACTTAGTAGGTTTAAACTCCATAGTAAATAGCGGTCGTCACGCTGCATTGTTTTGAAAGGTGGAATAACTTGGGTGATGAGCAGCGAATTATGCTGTCTGTTTAGCAGCAGCAACGCTGTCTCCGCGGTAGATTGCACCCCTTAGAAATTTATGATGACTTTGATTTACGCTCACGATTCCATTTTCCATAAAAATAAACTCACAGTGCCAGATTCCACAATAAACACGAACAATAAACACAAATTAGCTTTTAAACAATTACACAATGAACTCAAACTATCTTTTTTTTAAGTTATATGCCAAGCTACTAATTAACCGTTATTTTGTCCTGCTTTATTTGCCTTTCAATTGTAATGCCTTTTCCCTGTTAACTTTTTTATTATTTGTTAACGGTTCCTTTTTTTTAGCTGTTACCCTTGCGTGGAAAATATGCTCAAATATAAGAGAGCATGAGAAGCAACAGAGTGATAAACGCTGCATTAAAACAGTGCTTCTCACTGATTGGCCGTTGTCAGTGAGAGCGTCATTTTCTCTTACAGTATTTTGCTTAGTTTGGACCTTAAGGCAGTATAGTTAAGATGAACCTTAAGTTTCCGTGGTGCAACCGAACGTTGACACAGCTGTAGTATCAAACTAACAAGGTTCAACGTATGGTTTAGTGTGGACTTTGTACAATTATGTAAGGTAGAACTTACGATCTGGTGGTGCAACAGGCTGCAGGGGTGCCATCTAGTGGAAAAATATTGGAACTGGGTGTACAAATTTACAGCTCCATGGCTGCTAGAAGATACATTTGCCCAAACCGCTTAAAATAGCCTGCCGAGCACCGCTGTTCTTCTCGAACACGCCACATCCAGATAATCCTTAAATGATGAATTACATTCATATTTTAATTTGGAACGAGTAACGAAGTGGCCAGTGTCAAAGTAATAAAGTAAAAGTATACTTTTTATCTTTTAAATGTAGTAGAATAAAAGTTAAAGTCCCGGTTTTAAAAAAACTATGTTTCTAGGGAAAGCCCGTCTTTGTTCACGCCAAGTGCGGTTTGTTCTGACGTCTACTATTGGTTCACGTTTGAACCTACGTAGTCATCTCATAAATAATCAAATAGAGGGAATTCCCCGCTTTGCAATGATATCAACAATGTTGGGGAATCCCCAACTGGCGCCGCAAGAAGCGATTTTTGTCGGCGCATTTTTCATTGTTTTTGGGCTAATTACACAAAGATTTTCACCACCCACTTCTCCAAAATCAAGTTTGGAGGCACCTATGGTAGGATTTTTGCGAAATACTCTTTTGGAATGGTATCTTAAGTTATTTCTCTAAAGTTTAATGCACAAATCGAAAAATAGATAATTTTAATGTAAAATGTATTAGACGGCTGTAGCGCAAAATGGGCTCGTGCGACTTACGACTGGTTTTGTGATCCGGGGTCATATATATCATTGTTCAAGAATTAGCTCCGTAATCCTTTCATTTTACATTTCTGCACGTCTTGACCTCACCCCTTTCACAAGAGCCAATCACAACACAGGCAATGGACCATTAATTCTTGTGGGGAAAAAGGCAACAGCAAATAAGCCATTTGACTCCTAAGCAAAATGAGCTAGCTACAGATGGGTGACAAATTAATAGAAAAATCAACATAAGCTGTCTTATTCAGGTGTTCAGCCTCCACAAGTTGTCAGATCAGTTTCAACTTGCCTTGGCTTAGAGTCTACAAGTGTAAAACTTGGAGAACCCTTCTTCGAAGAGATAGTCATTCTGCTGGTGTTTTGCTAATTGTGATGGCGAGCGCTATTTAACACATTGAAACATGAGGTAATATAAGGCCAATGTGAAGCTGTCTCCATCAAGCAATAACACTAGATTCAAACGTCATTCAAACCTTCCTGTAGTGCATAAGGACTTTTTTTCTGGGACGGACGCTACTCAGTTACAAAGACTAAAGTTTTGAAACAGAGTTGTGAATCTGTGTCAACACTGGAACGTCAAACGTTTGTGAAATGAATCAAATTTGAGAGCGAAATTACCATCTGTAGCATTTACTATTCCTGAGATTTCCCAGTGACAATTTGGTTTGGTTTTTGATTTACAATTCTGTCTAGCTCCTCGTGTCTGTTTGCTTACCTGTTTGGCTTTTTGGCTTTCAGTTAGTCTCTTTATTTGGCTTTGGTGTATCTACTTCCCAGTTTTGGCTTATGGACTGTATTTCTGATTATGAGTCTGGATCCACCCATCTGTACTGAAATCCCACTGCCTGTTACCAGCCTGGGCCTCATTTCCCAGAGGATATTAAAGTCAAGTTGATCATAGAATCTGTCTTGCAAAGCTTTTCACGTTTTTGGAGTGTACCTAAAAAGCATTGTTACGAAAGATGTATATGTTTAGGTTACGATGGTCCCTGCGGGCGATTGACCACTTCTGACCACACTTATGGTGCGGTATCTCAAGAACGTTTTAACGCATTCCGCTATTTTTTGATATCACGTTTTATTATTTGGTTATGTATGTTATTGCCCGCATACAGTAAAAATGGCCTGCCAATATATCTTGTTTTGGCCGACCTGTATTGGCCGAGTTCAGCACGTGCACAAGTAACCATTGGCAACTGTGGCATTCGCTCTCTTCAGAGAAGCAGACGACAGTCGCGGTCTCGCGGACCTAGCATTTAGCTCTTTAATGAGTCTTGAAGTCGTGTACTTCAGAAGCCATGATCATAATATTGTTATGATAGCACAACATACTTAACCAATTAATAAAAATATTATAAATTGCTTATTTTCGCATTGCCTTGGTATTGGCCTTTCGGTCGCGGTAACTGTGGCATTCCCTCCCTTCAAAGAAGCAGACGACAGTTGCGGACCTAGCATTTAACTCTTTAATGAAGTCGTGTACTTCAGAATTCATAGTCATAATATTGTCATGATGGCACAAAATACGTAACCAATTAATAAAAATATTATAAATGGCTTATTTTCGCATTGCCTTGGTATGGCCTTTGGGTCGCGGTATTACAGCGACCCTCAGGCCAATACCATGGCAATATGAAAATAAGCAATTAATAACATATTTTCCGTTGATGATATTAAGATGCCAATAAATTATGGACATAGTATTCCACTCCGTTTGTCCGTATGTCCATCCTGATCTTGTTAGTGCAATGTCTCAATAACCAGTCAATGGAAATTCTTCAAATTTGGTAGCACATTGTGTTATGGGGATGTGCAGACCCCAGTAAAATTTCACCAGTTTTCTAAGGTCATTACAGGCGATTGACCATTTCTAAGCGGACTTATGGTGCAATATCTCAAGAACAATTTAGTGCATTCCTCTCATTTTTTATAACATGGCCTGCACTGATGATATGCAGATGCCAATAAAGTATGGCGACCTTGACTTAATTATCAAGGTTATTATAGGCTAAGTGATCATTCTTAATTCTATCGTTAACTACACATCTCAATAACAATGTCACCGAGTTCATTCATATTTGGTACCAAAGTCTGTATTAGGGATGCGCAGCTCCCATTGGAGCCCAGTGCCATGCATTTGTAATAAGGCTTTTGTTGTGTTATTTCAAGCACAATTGATGGATTCCTTTCATTTTTTATAACATTGTAGCAAGAAGACATCCATTTTGTCTTTGCGGCAGGGGACACATTCACATTTGTGACAAATACTTGTTTTTCTGGTGTTAATATTACCTTATTTACTTTTGTAGCTTTCCCACAAATGACAATTCCAATTGTAGGCCTATAAATCTCATTGCTTGTTTGAACATTTTTCACGCCGGGGTCACCAACTTTAGAATTCCCTCTCAGCTGTAGCCTACCAAAAGATGGAAATATCTGAAAAGCGAAGGAACGCATGTCGTTTTGTAACTGGATCAAGAATAATTTAAAGCTTATTAAAATGATCTGACTCCATGAAAAATTATACTTCACCTTCTTCCACACTTACAGTGATATACAGAAGATTGCAAATGAATGTACTGCATGTGGCTCTTTATAGGATTGCCATCCAGCTGAGTAGATTTTGACATGGCTCCAGCTGGTACAGCTTGCAATATTACGATTAAATGTATTTATGTCAGCATTACCTGCACTGGCAAGTAACTACAGGGTGCAGATATCCTATGACCTGCGTGTTTGTCAGAACTGAAGATCCTGAACTGTGCATAGGATAGTTACCAGTCAAATACCTGGTTAAGGTGAGTGTAATTTCTTGAACGAAAGCAGGCAATGAGTCGGAAAATGCGTAGCAGATTGTTGTGCGCAAAATGACTGTAGCCTGCACTATTCTCGCTCTGGAGCCCATGTTAAAAAGTCTCCCAGAACTGTTCCACTTTTCCACCTAGAAACTAGATCAAAGGAATCACCAAGTCATCAAAACAGAGGCCCAATCAGGAAGAAACAGTAACAGCAATAATTATATATGCATCAGGCTTGAATGTTTAACAAGTGGTTACCTTGCCTGAGACCATAAATTTCCTCTTGACCATGGAATTTGAATGTGATCGTTCAGTTAAACAACAGCCTAGCTGCCGGGTTAGCTCACTTGGTTAAAGCGTAGCATTTACAGACTAGTAGTGACTACCATGGCGCGGGTTTGATCCCCGTTCGTACCATCCGGCAGTGGTCGGTAGCTTTTTCAGAACAGCGCTGCAGGGATGCAAATTGGGAAGGGACTGCCAGGAAGGGAAATTAAAATGGTTGCCTTGTTCGTTGTTCAAGCGCCTCCTGTTGGCCAACTGGGTGCTCGTCAATGAGATTCTAAGCATGCTCATGTTCGAGTATCCTCCGCCCTCCTTCTGAACTTGCGAAAGTTTCAACCAATGAGTGTAAAGATGCAGGTGCTTCGGAGGAGAACCGCGAACTGTCTCTCTCTCTCCTGAGCTGGCAACAAGGGGTCGCATACGAGCAAGCCTTGTGCATAGTTCTTGAATTGGGCATTCCAGATTCGGGTGGGATTGGAGATGCCAAATTTTTATTTAAAAATAAATAAATAAACAAACAACAACCTTAAAAAAAAAAACAATTACAGAGATAAAAATGATGAACATTATCATAAATAGCCCTACAGTAGTAAATAAGATAAAGAAATACATGAAGAAACAACGGATAACAGGATGTTAAGTAAAAAAATAAGTACATAAATTTAGGCTATGGCCTATAAAAGTATTTAGACAAAATATTACATTTGAAGAACAATGATACCTTTGAGGCTGGCTCTTATTTTGTGCTTAAGGGCAAAATCTGCCTCGAACAATAGATAGATCAATCAAAACACCCAAGTTTTACTTTATGCCTCTATTGTGTAATATTTTAAATTTATGCTTAATATTTTATGTATTTTCACTACATCACATGAAACACAAAGGGCTACAGTTAAATCTGTGACTATAGCCTAAAATCAGTTCATCAAACATCTCAGCACCATTCAAGTGGGCAGCGCCACAGCGAAGATAAGATGTACTTAATGCATGCACTCCTGCTCTAAATGCTGCTTTGGGAAACGCGTGTAACGAATGAGGAACTTTTGTGAGATAGCACGCTACGAATCCTGGAGCTCTATGATCGATCATTATTGGGAAACGAGGCCCTGGATTGCTTGACCACCAATATCAATAAAACCTGTGAACTGGATTTACTGGACTGCGCTGGAGTTCTTACCCTGCGTTTTGTCAAATATGTGAGGGATTTGAGATGAGTCCTCTTTAGGGCCTGTACTATAGGAATGCGCTCAGTCACCTTGGTTTTTTGGGATTTTCCTGGCCTTCAGTTGGACCAGTTCCTTTTTTTCACCTATTTTTGCAGAGAATATGGAGAGTGTCAGTCTTTGGGATTTTGTTTTTTCGATATGTGTAACGGTGCACAGGTGCTTCATTGCACAAGTGCCTTAAATCAAAGGCTTAAGTCTTTGGTAAAGCTCTAAAGAATTGTTCTGATAGTCAAATAATGAGCTAGCTGCCTTAGTCAAAAATCGACTTTCAGTTCAAAGGTCCATTTTTTCTTTTTTTGCTGTGTGTGTGTATGTGTTTGTGTGTCTGTCTGCGAATACTTGCAAGTGTGTGTGTGTGTTTGTGTGGATGAATACGCATATATGTATGTGTGTTTATGCATGAGAGGCAGTGCTTGCGCATGCATGTGTGTTCTCATGTATGTCGCGGTATTTCTCTCATTTTTGTCAAAGCTGCTTTCAGGGCAGTGTTCTGTACTGTCTTCATATCCATTATAAAGGATCCTACTGTGTCATTAAAGGAGCTTTGTCACGATTACTGCACATGCTCACAACTTTGAATGAAGTAAATCCGTTCAGCTGAAAGTCAAAATCGAGAAGGTATTTTTCTTCTTCTGTTATTACTGGCGATGGCAACCAGCTTACATTCTTCATATCCCTTAGCTAAAGCTGAAAATAGCAATTTGGATCCTCAAATTTCCATAGAAAGCTCCTCAGTGTAGAATGCTTAATGCATGTCTAAAATATTTAAATACAATGCAAAAGGAAGACAGATTGGTAAGGATGGAATAAGGTTATGACGTGCAGTCAAGCAGATTCACTTTCTTTGGATGTAAGCTCTGAGCATGCGCAGTAATTGTGACACAGCTCTAAATGTTGTGGTAGATGTCATCAAAGCAATCATTAGAAAGTCCGTATCGCGGCCTTTTTAGTATTACTTCATTTTTTATGTTGAGATATCAGATTCAATCTCTTTGATGTATTCTGGAAGGTACATTGCAAAAGAAGAAGTGTTCATTGAATTGTTGCCAAAGTCTGCTCTGATTTTTAAACTTTTTTATTTGCACTGAGAGAAGATTTCTGTAATCTATTACCCTCCATGGGGTAGAATGTTCTCGTATTGATTTTATATTGCATATATTGCCCATATCTGAGCTTTTTTGGAGATATAATGACAAGCCTATTTCACAGAAATGTAAATGTATTGCATTTCTTGAAGTGGCAATAACGCATTTTTACAGTTGACATAAACAGTGCCTCAGCAATGTAATTGCGTATTATACTTCAATAAATTTGCAGTTATATACCAGTTTTGCTTTAAATTGTAATATGAACTGTTTCACCCATTTTAAACTGTGTAGGCCATAATATACTGAACAAGAACTTTTTTCCTGAAATAAAAACGGCAATTGGTTTCCAAAGGCCGTGGATATAATTTATTTTTCTTTCAATTTACATCACAGTTATATGACACAGCTTTTTTGAATACTTAATTCTGATTTGCTAATTACAGCATTCTACAGTCTTTTATTTCTGAATGGCAGACCACTGCTCTGAATTACAGACCACTGCTTTGGATGCAACCGTAGAATCCAACGGGCTTTTTTTCAGCAGAAGCGATAAAGTCATTTTTAAATCAATAAAATGACTTTTATATTAATATTTTGTGTCAATTATCGCCTACAAGCCCATTTCCTCATTAAGTAGCCATGTACGTAATAAGCGGAATATTATTCAGTGGGCAAGTCATTATTTCAAAATTCAAGACCCCTTTGTTTTGTGTCGGGATCCAACATGACCCTTTCATGGTTTATTTCACTATAACGACCCACTCGCTGTACATTATCCCTTGCTTTCCCAAGACAACTTCTCATCTCAGGATGTATTTGTGACTTTGTTCTTCGTCGCATTCCCATATGAGATAAACCGTGTTTAGTAGTGCAGTGCCATACTTAAGATAACGGTCCTAGTGAGAACAGGCAACTGCTGATCCCTTTTTTTAGATAGTAATTATGAAAGTTGGGTACTTCCAGTTGTCATTAATTCTTACGGTTCTGAAAAGATGAATGTTAAATCCAGTGTGTTTTATTATTCCAGTAATTTGGTTATCAATCACGGAGTTGTTTCAGTTGAATCATTCAGTCGATGGGTCAGGAGGGATCATTTTGAATAGGTAATTGACGTAATGTAGCATGGTCATTTTAAAATTTTTGTTTCTGCCAAAAACAGAAAGTCGAAGGGTTGTTTAATGGTTTTATTGATCTTCAGTTGTTCTTGTTAATGAAGTGAAGGTTGAACTACCTTGAAGGCTTGGTGAAAATGTTTTTGCCCAGAAATGTACCAGCATCAGTGGATGAGAGGGGTGAATTTTGAGCTGCTGTATGCCAGTCATCCCCTCCCTGCGTGCTGTTCCTTACCATAGTGGGGGAGTTTGTATGCTCTTTGATGAAGCCGGGGGTTATATTAGCTGGAGCTAAGTGCTCCTGGTAGATATGACCTTGCTGAGCAGGTTCCATACTCTTGGTAGGTTCGACCTCGCTGTGCAGGGTCCTGAGGAAAGGCCAGACTAATGCAGCACCTGGCCCTTGGCGTCGGTGTTTGGCCGAGGGGCTTAAAACCCCTCCCTGTAAAAACACCGCTATTATGGAAACTGAAGATAAACATCAAGTGATCTATGGTCGTAGGGACGTGGCTGGCCAAATACCATAGGATGAAGATATTGTCCTCACAGATTATCAAAGCACTTCTGAAGCCCACGGAGCGAACAAGTCACTATTGAAGCCCAAACAAGTTATCAACATTGGAAACTGGAACGTACACGCCATAAACACGATTGGAAATACTCCACAGGGTGCAAAGGTAATGAGGGACTGTAACATCAACATCTTGGGGATAAGCGAATGCTGCTGGACGAACGCTGGAAAGTTACAACTGTCAACAGATGAATCAGTAATCTATTCCAGGAGAGACGATGGGATGCACTGTGGTGGAGTAACGATAATGATGACCAAGGTAGCAGAGGCAGCCCTGTTAGAATTGTCACCAATTAATGAGCATAGTACTGGCAAGATTTTATTCCAAGTTCAAACTCACGATCATCTATGTTTATGCACCAACTATGGAGGCGGATGAGGAAGAGAAAGACGCGTTTTATGCACAACTCCGAAGTACCATCAGCAAAGTAAACAAGCATGACCTCTTACTTACAGCAGACGATATGAACACAAAGGTTAGGCCCTCAAATTTGAACAAGGAGAATACAATGTGCAAACACTAAACCGGGATAATCAATAGTAACAGAGAGAAGTTAATCAACCTTTGCGAGATGAACAACCTTGTCATAACTGGCACAAATTTTCCACACTAAGATATTCATAAGAACACCTGGATGTCGCCTGATAAGAAGAAGGACAACTAAATTGACTATGTATTGGTTAACCAGCAATTAAGAAGATCTGTCTGAGACACAGGGGCAATGAGAGGTGCCAATGTTACATCGAATCACCAACTAGTCAAGACGCAGGTTAAACTTGAGCTAAAGAGGATTTATAAACCCTTGAACATCAGGACCAAATATGTTGTGAGTAAATACAGCATGAAGCAGTGAGAAATGCCTTTTCCTTGGAGCTACATACGTAATTGATTCGCTGTCCTTGAAACAGTAGATGGTAATCACGATATTAACAAAAGGTTGACTAGATTTAAGGACGCATATAACAGCACAGCAGAAAAGGTTGAGCAAGAAGAGGAGAAATAGCAAACCCTAGAATCAGTCATGGGAGAAAGTCAAAGAAAGAAGGCAGCTGAAGATAAGGATGGAGAATGTACATTCAGAGAGCATAAAGCTACAATTTCGGGCAAAGTAAGCGACCAAAGATAAGAAAGTGAAGAGGAG